TATGGTAAATTGGATGACTAGTAATTTCCGACTACTAAATTCTGAAAAAACAGAGATTCTAATTATTGGACAAAAAACTTCCACACGTAACAGCCTAGAATACTCTCTAACACTTGATGGCAGCTCTGTTAAGTCTTCATCGTCGATTAAGAACCTGGGTGTGCTCTTTGATACTAATCTCTTATTTGAAAGTCATGTGTCTAGTATCTGTCGAACCGCATTTTTCTATCTTAAAATATATCTAAATTACGCCATATGCTCTCATTGACAAATGCGGAACAATTAGTTCATGCGTTCATGACATCAAGGCTAGATTATTGTAATGCTCTACTGGGAGGTTGCCCTGCACACTTAATAAACAAACTACAGCTAGTCCAAAACGCAGCCGCTGGAGTTCTTACCAGAACCAGGAAGTATGACCATATTAGTCCAGTTCTGTCAACTCTGCATTGGTTGCCTATTAAACATTGTATATATTTTAAAATATTGCTAATTACTATTAGGCTGCATAGTTTAGATCAGCCGGAACCGGGAACATGTCCCGTAAATCCTGATGTACTTGGTACATCAAAAGAAGGATGGCGTCTACGCTAATATCAGATTCTCTGTTTATCCCGAGGGACCCTCTATGGTGGACCTGCGCCTGGACCCATTCCGACTCATCCTTAAGTTCCGGCCTCATCGACACGACAGCCATCGGCACTGATCCTCAACATCTCGTCTCCAAGCCGGCGTGATTACTTCGACTTCCAAACAGATGGAAATGGACAAATTCTCTTAATGTTTTGATCCAATTTGTTTTGTAATCACTGTTCTTCCGTTGGCCAGAGGAGAACTGGCCCCCGACTGAGCCTGGGTTCTCCCAAGTTTTTTTTCTCCATTCAATCACCTGATGGAGTTTTGGTTCCTTGCCACTGTTGCCTTGCTTTTGGCTTACTTAGTTGGGGACATTTAATATTCAACAATATTATTGATCCGTGTTGTATTATTTTCATGTTATCACTGTGAAGCTGCTTTGATACAATCTGTATTGTAAAAAGCGCTATATAAATAAATGTGACTTGACTTGACTTGGTTAAGGCTTAGAAAGAATGCCTGAAGAATGTTGAATGTCTGTATTTTTGAGTGTAAATGCTTTTTTTCCATATTACTTGTAGAGAGTTTGTATAAAGATTTAAAAATTTATTTGTAAATGTATCTTTTGTATAAATAATAAAGCAATGTTAACTGAATGTGATGTGTGTTTTACCTACACAGACTAATTTATTAAATAAGTGATAGACAAGTAGAAATGTGTTTATGGTAGCTATGTATAACTTAACACAATTGAAATCGACATCCTTTTAAGGTTAGGCAAGCAAACCAATTAGATCGATTTTATGTTGAATATGTGTTGATCCTATAACGTCATTTAAGCTACCTGAAATCAACGTTGTTTCAACGTTAGGAAAGCTAGCAAACCAATTGCGTCGATTTTCCGTTAGTTATGAATGGCGCGTCTGAGCAAAACGATGCCAGATCATCAACGTTGTTTCGATGTCATGAGAAACTTCGTTTCCACGTTGATTCAATGTCAGTTTGCTATCTGGGTCTGGGTCTGGGTCACGTGTGTGTGAGTGCGTGCGTGTCACAAATCATAAATTGTTTCTTCAACTTATTAAAATATCTTACTTTACTGCAACCATCTGTTTCTGCTTCTTTATCATATTTATAGTGTGTGATTTATAAAATAATCCTAAACCATGTGTCCTGTATAGTTTTCACTCATATTTGGATGTAGCCAGGCGCTGCTGCATTGTGAAAAGTAAACGATATTTCACATTTTGTCACCGCACCCAAGCAGTCGCTTTACAGAGTGGAGCGTTGCGTATCCATGACAACTAGAAGGAAGTTTTTAGGCTACTAATTATTTATTATATTATACCCTTTAACCAGGAGAAGCCCCTGGGTTTAGAACCTATTTTGCATGGGAGACCTGTTTAGAAATGTGTGAACAGCCTAATATGTGTTAAACAGCCTAACTTGATAACGAACGAACCAACGTCGGATACCTTTACTCCCTGTATGACATGTATAGTGGTTGTCAACACTGATCTATATGACATTCTATATAGATAGTGGTTGTCAACAACATAGCCTCTGAACATCATAAACAAAACAATGGCCAACACAAACTGTTCTGGAAAATGCACTTTCTAACGCATGATTTCGCATTTTATAATGTATAGAGAGATATAACAGTTACCAAATCGCATAGCTTGAGCACGTAGCATGGCAACATTAATGTCCGAGTGATTCCACGTGTACCGCGTATGTACACGCCGTCAAATGTCCGAGCGAAACAAAACAAAATGTAGATCTACATCTGGGGAGCGATATTTATTTTTTCCTAGGATGGTAGGAGTGATGGGTAGGTTGGGGTTGAGGTAGGTCATATGCTATATATATATATACACACACACACAATAATAACGTTAAGTCAACGGTATTCATAAACACGCTGAAAAGAGATTATGCGTGTTGATAGCATGCCAAAAATACGTGATGCGTGTCATATGAAATTTCATGAGATCAGTCTGAGCATGGATGTTGTTGTGACTTAACGTTCCCTTCAAAATGATGCAAATACTGAGAAATGTAATATTTAAACCCCTTCTCTCTTGCTCTGGGGAGCTGGAGGAAAATCATTAGCCAGTCGATGAACATAATCGACTGTAATATTCGCCAAATGTTCAAGACATCTGGAGAAACATACATCCTCTACGTCGTCCATCAGGCTACCGGAAACTAGACACCCCATATCGGTTTCGCAGCCGGAACTAGCATATGCTAACGTGCACATAGTCCATTGAACTGAACGGATTTGCAAATTTGGCTGATTATTTCTGCTGAAAAATGGTCGAGTTTAGGTCTATACTAATCGGTCGCATCTGGAAAATACCCTTTGAGTTCTATAGACTGCCAAAAGTTAAAGAGAATAGTGCAAAAAACTGATGAAAGAAGGCGTTTGTGGTTGAGAGAGGCACAGCATGAGCTCATCAGCCACATGTGTAAATGAAGCGTTGACTATGGCTAAAATGTTGATGTATGCCTACATTCACACTGTCAGTCCAAATACGATTATTTTTGTATCCGATTGGAATCTGATCTGAAATGATGTCCACACTGTTTATCGGTTCTGTTCAGATCCGATTTGTGAGTCCATGCAGCTCTCGGGCAATACGGCACTGACATTGACACTGATGGAGGGGTTTGCGTTTGCAATACAGATGTTTGCTTATTTAATTTTTACAACATGGATATATGTAGCCACTGCCGCGCTGGACTATATTGCGTATTGAGCTGCAGAACTGTAGGAGGCTGTTATGTAACGTTACAGCTTGTTTTCGCGCTCTTGTCTGCGCCGGTTTCAATATATATTTCAGAAATTATATTTTTCTGCTCGTCCGGCACTTTGCAACAACACAGCATTGTTTCGGCAGCGACTTGCAGCATATCTCCTCTAACAATCACTGACGTTTACATTTTATGTGGCGTGAGAGTCACATACCAGCCGAAATCCGATCGTTCAGACTGAGGCATATGTACTGGTATTTGAATAGGATTTCAAACCACATATGGATGTAGCTTGAAACGGATTTCATGTGCTTTTTGAAATGACAATCTGAGAGTAGCCAATGTCGGAATAAGAAATAGAAGGAAGAATTGCAATAGGGCTAGCTAGCTCGTTCGGACCTTTACCACATATTAACTTTACTTTGTCAAAATATTGCACTCTCTCCTGCTTGGTAAGTCCTTCTCTATATGATTTCGCACCTACCACGAGTTTTTTTCTGTGTTTTTAGTGTAACAGTGTGTTCTGTACTACATACACAGTGCAGTCCATGCTGTTGTTTACATCCGAGTGCCTCCATAATGGCCGCTCATCCGGGTTACCGCCCAGAATGTGACGTCGGTGAAAACCCTCTATATCATACATGAATGACCTTTGCAGCAAAAACAAAAAACAAAAAAAAAAGTGTGAAAATCAGTTCGGTATTCAGTGAGATGATTAATTTAATGTGCTGACTGCTCATACCTGCCATACAGATTACACTGTGTTGAACGGGTGACCGGTTTAAGATGGCGACCCCACGGCTCATCCGTGCCAATGGGCTATATGCACGCATAAGTTCTGCGTTTGACGCAAGGATGCTCTACAGTTTCTGGTTGGAGATTAAAGCGGAGGAAAACCGAGGAAAACAGGATTATGGCAGAGTCTTCAAAATTTACTGAATTGTCAAAATTGTCTTTGAAACGAAACTTTCACACGTTTAGATGTAATTTTATGTATGTTTATTTAATATAATTTTAAAAAGAAGTATAACGGGTGGTGTCTGTTTTATCTGTTTTTGTGACTAGTTTCTTTAGTATAATCATGGAGTATAAAATTCAATATAAATTCTCGGTATTGCATTGGACTCTACGATCGGCGGAAGTTATCGAGCATCCTTAGACCTTCACCGGAAATACCGCCGTGCATATTACAGATCTATATGATGTCTATGCTCGCAACAGCACTGCTACTACTACAAAGGGACTTTGTTACCAATCTTAAAGGGATAGTTCACCCCAACATTTAAATTTTGTAACCATTTACTCACCCTCATATTGTTCCAAACTGAGTTTCTTTCTTCAGCTGAACACAAAAGAAGATATTTTGAATGTTGGCAACCAGACAGCCAATGACTTTCCATAGTATTTTTTTTTCAATGGCTGCATGCCGTCAACTGTTTGATTACCAGCTTTCTTTGTAAAAATGTAAAATTATTTTGTGTTCAACAGAAGAAAGAATCTCATACAAGTATGGAACAACTTGAGGGTGATTGTGATTGATTCATTTTTGGATGAACTATCTCTTTAAGATTATTGGAGAATATTTTCAATCTGATGTTTTACAACGCAACGTCAAAACGTTTGCATTGAAGAGTTGCGTTTTCTGTTGAATGCAATTCTGTCAAATAAACGTAGCCTATGAGTGCTTTGCTATTAAAGACACTGATGTAATTCAGGACAGTGGTAACAGGTGACTCTTCCTCCATGCTACGCTCTACGTACAGACGTAAACACGTGCTGCTCCTGCTCACAGGTTTCTTTTCACTTCTCCATCCCTCTCCTCCCGCATCATTCAGCAGCAGCAGAGATGGCGGAACCCGCCACAGCAACGCTTTCTCCGGCCATGAGCCCGAGCTCCGAGCCTCCGTCCGGCACACACTCTCCCACGGCAGGCGGAACACAGCGGCTCCTGTTTACGCATGACCTGGTCTCTGGAAAACACCGCGGGGCGATGCGTTTTGGGCTAGTACGGATGATTCACGGCGAGGAGGATTTTGAAGATTCGGACTCCGAGATTGACTGTGATGGCGGAGGGAGAGGACGTGGTGGCAGCGGTGGAAGAGGTGGAGGCGCTCCGGGTAACTCCGACAACGAGAGCGGGGCGGCCGACACACGGTCATGGCCTCTCGGTAGAGAATTCGTGCGGGTTCAGTGGTATCCTGAAGGAACGAAGCAGGATATTCGGGAAACACAGGTAACGTTATTGAACGGCGCTGATGATTAGTGCGTATTGTTCTTCCCATTGCCATAAAGCCAACCACAACGATCAGCAACTGAATATTCACTTTCATTCTCTGTCCCAATAATTTAATTAGGCCGAGATACGTTTATTGTCTTTTGCTTTCATCAGAACATGACCATGATGATGTAATTTGATTGACGATCCCCAGAATGCTATAATAAGTAGCCCACAAGGTTGAGGGATTCGGCCGCTGAATCTAACATATCTAGCAGTTAGCCTATCGAAAGGGCGCAGTTAGCTATTTATGAAAACGCTCCAACAAGAGAATTAAGCTTATGGACTAACATGGAAGATGTGAACAGTTAAGTTTTTAATCTCTAGATTGTAACGAGTCATTGATCATCATCTGTGTAATTTAGCCTATTTTATTCAGGCCTGGATAATATCCAATCACTGGTCAATAAAAAGTGTTTGTATCTCTAACTCAGCCAGCAGTAAACAATGTCAGTCTATGGTCAGTACACAATAATGTCAGTGCACATAATTATGGCCAGGTAACGTTAGGCCTTCCTCTGATGTTTCTGGACCTTCAGTGTATTTCTTTTGCACAATGGTTTTCAGATTTTTGTGTCAGTTCCCCGTTAAAGCATGGCCCAGCCCCGGCTAGAACTTACCATTTTATTCACCAGCTCTCAGCTGTAGTTTTAGAATAATGAGAATGAATGGGTGAATGAGACTACACTGGACAGCTGTTGTTTCTAACAAAGACATACCATCAGGCTGATAACCACCCCACCCTTCAATGCATGGTTAAGGCCTATCAGTGCAGGAGTGAACTACAATTGACAAAAATAAAATAAAAAATAAAAATCTGTAGATTGTTTAGTTGTTTTACTAACATAAATGTAATCTACATATCTTAATGTTTCTAGTGCCAGTGCAGAATTATTCTTTTTAAAACCAACTCAGAAAAAGATGCACATAATGCATTTTTTTTAAACTGAAAATACTATCCATACTCTATTCTATTACTAGAATGTGTAGATGTTTTATTTTTGAAAAAGGTGGTGGTAGTTTTTTTCTTTCAAGTCATGTATTTAAAGTGTTCTCCCAATTGTACAAATAAATGTTATAGGTCTACACACAGTATAGCTTTCTCTCCACAGAAAAGACAGCCATCCTCATGACTAATCACATTTACATTTAAACATTAATCATTTATATTTTAACAATAATACTGTATATGGAGTCTTATATTATCTTTTCCATGTTTATTTAAATTCCTACTTCTTATCGTGGCCTGTATTATCATAATATTGCATTGTCTTTACCACTAGCAAACGACAATATTGTATGAAATGTATTGTTATCTGACATATTTAACTTTTTCTAGACATGCACTTTATGCTTTAATTTGGTTTGTGGTGTCTGTGATGCAGCATTCAAGCTGTCAGGGACCAGAAGCATGTGTCAGCATGTGGTCTGCTGGGAAAAAGGTCAGAGTGGGCAGGAAGGACCGACCAGTTCAGAAGCTCTTTATTTCTTTTCTGAGCTTTTGGACAGATGTTGGTTATGCTAATGATGACTTTGCTTGTTAAGTACCTTGATAAGTAATTAGCATATCCTTCCTATTAGAGCCCGACGATATGGATTTTGGAGGGCCGATACCGATAAAAAAAAAGCCAGTGGCAGATACCGATATATATATCGGCCGGTATTATTTATGTGTATATTATAATAAAGTAGCAATATTGTGTGCATTATAGTACAGTACCAGTAAAAAGTTTGAAACTGTTGTATAAGAATGAATGCACAGTATAATCAGAATAAATATATAAATGTTTTGCAATGATCACTCAAATGTGGTGATCAAACACTTGTCACAAAGATATGTAATTGAGGCAGGGTGAATGATAGAATGAGAATGATACATTTGAGCTGTAACCAAAGCTCAAATAGTTTGCATTGCATGTTATATTATAGACTTTGTCTTTTAGTCACGTTATATAAAACATAATTTGTGTATAAATATATCAAAAGTGTCACTGACACAACCTTATCTTCTATTTTTAGTCTTAATTCCTCTAATCTCTACCAGTGGAGGAAGAACTCAGATCTTTTTACTAAAGTAAAGATCTAAAGTAAAATTAATGGATTTAATAATGAAAATGTTTTTAATTATGTACAGTACTTTTATACTATTCTTAAATAGTAGCCTAAGCAAAATGTTCTTAATGTTAAACATTGTCAACAGTGTTATAATCATATAAATTATTGTGTGTGTATTGTAGCGTTATAGGCAGAATGAGCTTTAACACTGTGCACACGCAGAATGAGGCATCAGTTTATGTTGGTCGCGCAATGCATTTTAATTTCGTCAACCAATTGCCAGGATTTGCTTAATAATAGCTCAATTGCTTAATAAATAAGAAGTAATATAGCAGACAATATAATCAGGACTTCTCAGCTGCACGCTTTCCCTGTCATCACAAGCTCACACAAAACGTAACAGAGGCTGGTAGCGGAGAAATCAATTCTGTGAATTACACTGTGCAAATCAAAAGTAATAGGCTACTACCCACCTACTTAGAAGGGTTGGCTCTCAACAGAACATAAATATTCATTTTATTTTATTTTTCGTGTTCGCATTTATGAGGAAAAAACAATGTTACAGACATGTTCTCCGTTACGGCGGCAAAGCGGCACTAAAAGATCCTTTAAAGGGGTGATGAACTGAGAAATCAAATTTTCCTTGAGCTTTTGACATCTAAGAGGTCATCATATTATAAGAATATCCTGTAAGTTTCAGAACTGAAAACGTCCTTGTTAGTCCAATAAAAGCTTTTATTGACACAGATTTTAAAAGTGGGGCACTATGACGACAAAGAGGATAAAACACCACCCCCACAGAAGATGATCAACGCCTGCTTCACCACGGCAGGTTTAGCCCCGCCCACCGATTCGCGCATTACACACATAAGTATCATACATGTACATGCTTACCTCGTGATGACAAACTGGATCACTACCGAGCAATACAGAATATTGTGCAGTGCCTGGTTGTGCAAGACAGTCGCTGTATAAGCTTCCTGTGGATTCCAATAGGACTTCATGGATAAAATTTATTTTTAATGACGTTCCAGCTGATGAGGTAAAACATCGTCGTCTGTTCGCTTCATTTCACTGAGGATTGTTTTGTCAACAAGGCTGGATTTGCAGACCGATTAAGAGTAAAGAACGGTGCTGTGCCGTCTATATTGGATCTGACAGGAATATTGTGCAACACACGGACTCTGGGTTGAACATGTATGGGCGAATCCGGTTGCCATTTGACAACATAGGACGTTTTCCCCCACGTACACGATGGGTGAGTTAAACTCATTATAATATGCAAAACTGTTCTCCACTCGCAGCAGTGGGTGTTTACTTCCAAGTCTTCAGTGCGACACGCCCATAAAAACCGACTGTTTTTTTAGGTAGGCTCACAACCAGGGTACAAAATAGCCTATTACTTGTTCATTTTGATGTTTTTGAATGCAAAAACCAAGCGAACGTTATAAGTTGACCTCAGACAACAATATAATAACATTTAAAAAGCCAGTTCATGACCCCTTTAAAAATTTCATAGAACATCAAACAGAAAGCTCAAAACCTTTCTTTAACTTGAATTTCGTTTGTATTTATTGTCTTAATTTTAATCAATGTTTCATCAACTAATTGCCTGGATTTAATAAATAAATAGTAAATATAGCAGACAATAGATCATCGCATGAACTGCAACTCGTCTCATAAATGAACCTAAATTCAGCATATACTGTAGACCTGAGAAATACACTCACCGGCCACTTTATTAGGTACCCCATGCTAGTAACGGGTTGGACCCCCTTTTGCCTTCAGAACTGCTTCAATTCTTCGTGGCATAGATTCAACAAGGTGCTGGAAGCATTCCTCAGGGAGTTTGGTCCATATTGACATGATGGCATCACACCGTTGCCGCAGATTTGTCGGCTGCACATCCATGATGCGAATCTCCCGTTCCACCACATACCAAAGATGCTCTATTGGATTGAGATCTGGTGACTGTGGAGGCCATTTGAGTACAGCGAACTCATTGTCATGTTCAAGAAACCAGTCTGAGATGATTCCAGCTTTATGACATGGGGCATTATCCTGCTGAAAGTAGCCATCAGAAGTTGGGTACATTGCGGTCATAAAGGGATGGACATGGTCAGCAACAATACTCAGGTAGGCTGTAGCGTTGCAACGATGCTCAATTGGTACCAAGGGGCCCAAAGAGTGCCAAGAAAATATTCCCCACACCATGACACCACCACCACCAGCCTGAACCGTTGATACAAGGCAGGATGGATCCATGCTTTCATGTTGTAGACGCCAAATTCTGACCCTACCATCCGAATGTCGCAGCAGAAATGAAGACTCATCAGACCAGGCAACGTTTTTCCAATCTTCTATTGTCCAATTTCGATGAGCTTGTGCAAATTGTAGCCTCAGTTTCCTGTTCTTAGCTGAAAGGAGTGGCACCCGGTGTGGTCTTCTGCTACTGTAGCCCATCTGCCTCAAAGTTCGACGTACTGTGCGTTCAGAGATGCTCTTCTGCCCACCTTGGTTGTAACGGGTGGTTATTTGAGTCACTGTTGCCCTTCTATCAGCTCGAACCAGTCTGGCCATTCTCCTCTGACCTCTGGCATCAACAAGGCATTTCCGCCCACAGAACTGCCGCTCACTGGATGTTTTTTCTTTTTCGGACCATTCTCTGTAAACCCTAGAGATGGTTGTGCGTGAAAATCCCAGTAGATTAGCAGTTTCTGAAATACTCAGACCAGCCCTTCTGGCACCAACAATCATGCCACGTTCAAAGTCACTCAAATCACCTTTATTCCCCATACTGATGCTCGGTTTGAACTGCAAGAGATTGTCTTGACCATGTCTACATGCCTAAATGCACTGAGTTGCCGCCATGTGATTGGCTGCTTAGAAATTAAGTGTTAACG